ATCCTTTGTGGAAAATCCTTTCTTTAGGATTTTTCCCTCTTCTGGGAAGCTGAGGCCCCAGAAAGAGAATGTAAACAATGGTTATCTACTGCTGTGGAATGCAACAGGTGCACCTGTCATTGGCCCATGTTCCATGTTTACAATTAAGGGCCAATCGGGGGCCAAGCTCTCTCTGGGACAGATCAGAGAGAGCTCTGTTGTTGATTCATTCCTATTCTATTCTTAGATAGCAAGCTTCTGAACTTTCTTCTCTATTCCTTTTAGTATAGTTTTAATGTATTATATATCATAAATTAATAAATCCAGCCTTCTGATCATGAAGTCAAGATTCTCATCTGTCTCTTCACCCCTGACGAACCCTTGCAAGCCCTGTAACACAGCACCACACTGACCAACTGAGCTATTGCCTGCAGCCTAAGAGACACATTATAATGCTTTAAACACACATTCTTTTCCTTCTGTTCAGATTTTTACAAAGGGAATTTACCTGCTGAGTGTTCTGAGGTTCTGCTGTGGTACCTTTTGATAGCTGCCGGATTTCTTTCTGAACTTCAGCAAATGCTTTATTTATTGTGCTAACTTTTTCAGCATTTTTAATGTTTATCTGGGAGAAAAAAAAATACATATGTTAGTATTTTTAGCAAAAATTCCACTGATGTGAAACTGCCCCATTTTTGTGCAATTATTATGCAGCCAGTGTTACATGCTTTTTGGTGTGTTTTACCTGTTACTTCATTAGGTCATCTAGCTGTGTACTAATAAATTCAAAATTAAGAGTTAAACTTGCTCTACGGGAATGGGAGCCCATAGTGATCCAGAAGGAGAACACAAAGAAAACAAAAGTCTATACTGCTACACCAGCCTCAGCTCCTCTTAGCTGGAATGAAGTCCCAGGAAGGGTTCCTTCCTTCCTCTCTTTGGTGAACTGACCCTGGCTGGATGCCAGGTGCCCACCAAAGCCACTCCATCGCTGCCTTCTCCAGCTAGACAGGGGACAGGAAATATGATGAAATATAATGAAAGGCTCATGGGTAGAGATAAGGGCAGAGAAAGATCACTCACCACTTGCCATCACAAGCAGAACAGACTCAACTGAACTTGGGGAAAATGAATTTGTTGTCAAACAAATGCTGCAGAGGAATCTCAGCTCAGATACCTGGAGCACCTCTTCCCACTTCTTCTTCACTGACCTTGGTGTTTGCAGGGCTGTTTCTTTAAAAAATTCTCACGCCCCTATTCTGACTGCTGCTGCTGGAGGTATGCTTCTGAACTACATCAACCCAGAGGCACTGCCAGTACCTGATGGGCTCTGCCTTAGCCAGCAGCATGTCCATCCTGAAGCCAGCTGGCATTGGCCCTTTCAGACATAAGGGAAGCTTCTGGCAGCTTTTTAGAGAAGCCAAGCCTGTAGCCCCTCAAACCAAATACAATTTGTAAATTATTTTAGTATGCTGAATTTCTTCCAGTAGCTTACCTTCATCATCACACCTTGCATCCTAACTGTTCATACTGTAGGTCTGGCCAACAACGTCTACCAGGTTTTGCCACAGCATTGAAGGAAACTGCAGCTGCAGCAGAGTGGAATGTGCATCTCTGGGCACCTCAGCCTCTCTTTTAGCCCAAGTCTGCCTTTATAAGTTATTTCATCAAAGATTTTACTTTCAAAGAGGAAGTGCTAGAATATGGACGTGTGTTGCACTCTGGGGACAGCTGTCTGTGGTAGAAGAGCAGGGTGGATGCAAGAGGGCATAAACTCTCACTACTGCAGCAAAGGAAGATTCAGCTGATCTGAGCCCTAGCACCTGCTGCTTCCAAAGTTTGGAACAGGATCACAGCCTAACCTATTACACTGCAAACATTCCAGAAGCATGCTCATAGGTCTTCAGGCAACCCCAAATCTCAGCATACCTACTGCTGTTCAGTGGGCATCCCCACAGTTCATCTCTGAGCAATTTAAACAGGCAGGAGCAAACTGTGAATGGTTACACATATTCATTTTACTTTCAAAGCCTCCATAATTTCAGAGCACCTATACAGTAACAATTCCATTCTCACTGACCACAAAAACCAGTAATAAGAAGCAGTGGGCAATGAGGCTGATAGAACAGGCCTGCTCAGATGAACACTTTCACTGGGACAGTGACTGGAGAAATACAGCCCCAGCTACCAGCTCTGATCAGAGTGGATGGACTGTTGGTAATATGATGTACAAAGACCATGTGTTCAGTCAGGGCTTGTCGCCATCTTCCAGCTTCACAGGGGTTTTAGAAGGTTCCAGTCAGTTTTAATGGTGATATCCTCAAGTAGTCAGGCAGGACTGGTTCACAAAAAGAGGCTCTATAGCTAGCATGGGTACCTACATCAAAAGTTGTCTGAACAGTTACAATGAGCTTATAGCTATTAATGAGTAAATTCATTTTAGCAACTTTTTTTTTCTGAGCATCTTCTTATACTGCTTAACGATAAGTAAATCACATTAAGCCCAAAGGCTTAATGCATTAAAGAACACAGCTTCAAACACACAGAATAAAATTTTACTCCTAATAAGCTTTTCAAGACTATGAAACTCAGACATTTCATGAATATGATTTTAAACCTGTTTCTCCCTTTATTATACAGAACAGTCTAGACTAAGAGGAGATGTGACGCCAGCAACATGAAATTGTTTTTTGTAAAGTTTGTTCCTGTCTGTCCACCAGATTAATTTGTCAAGTGGAGCTTGCAGGAGAAAATCTGAAACGGCCTTTTTTTTAAAAGCCATTTACTTGTGTTTCCCTAGCAGACTGCAACTGCATCAGATGGAGAAAACAAGCCACTATCTGCTTTTATTATTTCTATTACCAGATGCTTTTCTAGAGGGACAGGTGAACTCTTGCAGAACACACACCTTAGGCTGGAGGCAGGCTTTGAGAAGAAAACATATGATGACTCAGTGCTCACAACAGGAAAACTCTTGCTTGGTCACCCCCATCCCTCTTCCCCTGCACTGCTCCCTACTCCATGACCCACTCTCTCTCTCCTCTGGGCTGTGCTCTTCTACAGACACCAAAATAACAACATTATTTTTGCTTCTTTGTTCTTCTATTGCTTTAATATGTTAAACTGGTGTACAGAAGTATCTACAGAGCACCACAGCCATATAAGGGGCAAAAAAGGGGCAGAGAGGAATTAAGAGCAAAACATCCAGCAATGCACACTCCTAGCTATGTTCACTGCATCTCACTGACAGTTTTACTTGACAGCTGAGGCAAATAAACAGCTACTGGATCAGAAAAGGCTCCATCCTTTCTGGTTCTTCTCCACCAAAATGCTTCTCTCTGCATTCATTCATTCATAATTAACTTTATTCAACTTACCAACGCAGCACATAAAAACGCAAAATGTATTTTTAATGCCTTTTACTGCTGATTTAGCGAGTTGAGTCACCTAGTGGGCATAGAGTTCCTGAGCCAGCATCAAGGAGAGCTGTGGGAATATAGCCCAGAGCCTGGCACAGGGCTCCCTTCCTGGGACAAGGAACGGGATGGAAAGGAGCAGGACTTCCCCTTGTCAGTAGTACTAACTATGGCCAGTGGTTCGGATCAAGGCATTTTGTTAAACTCTACCCTGAATTACACCCTCAGAGACGCTGTGAATGCAGTCCGGTGAAGGCGAACTCGCTGAACTGCGGATGCGCCCTTCAGCATCGCATTCCCGAGGCCAAGGCGCGACACTATCAGACTCTTCCCAAACGGCACCCCTGAAGCACAGCCCGATGCCTGCTGTGGCATATGCCTGCGGATTAGTCAAATGAACTCCCTGTGATCCTCTTTTTCCAGATGACATCCACATACAAACCTAATTTTCGGATGATAATCGTGCACTTTGCCGTTTTGTGCCCGGACGCACACTGCCCCTAAAACAGCTCGATTTATTCACCTCCGAGCGCTTGCTGCGCCGCGCACCGAGGTCGAAGGGGAGGAATCCCCGCCGGGCCGAGGCCTCCCGCGGGCGCCGCAGCAGGGCAGGGGCCCTCCCCGTGGTGGGGCGCTGCCGCAGCACTCACCTGCTTCAGCCCGGAGGTGACGGGCCGCGCCTTGCCCTTGGCCTTGGCTTTGAGGACGCCGCTGCGGGCGATGCGGAACACGCTGCCGGCCTTGGCGGCCCCGCCGCGGTTCTTGCCCATGGCGGCGGCAGCGGCGCGCGGGCGGGTGACGTCACATGGGGCTGTGACGCAGGGAGCCGCCAATGGCCCACAGCGCCGCGCGGGGCCGCCAGGGGGCGTGCGCCGCCTAAGGTGGGCGCTGTGGAGCCGCACTGGGGAACGGGAGTGGCGGAGTGGCCCTGTCCCTGTCTCTGTCCCTGTCTGGTCCCAGAGTCAGCCTCGCCCCGGCCCTGCTTGCCTCTCCCGCACCTTCGCAGCCAGCTTTTGCAGCACAGGAAAGCTGGGAGCTCCTTGGCGCGCGCCCGCAGCCCAAGCGCTGAGTCCAAAGCTCCGCGTTGCCTCGAGCACCTGCCCACGGGCAGCTCCCGGCACACGCGGCGCTTGGATAAATTCCCAGTGGGTTGTGGGACACCCTTCTGCCTTCACGGCCCCACTTAGGAAAACGTGAAATCTTCCTGCGACCTATTCCAAAGGGAATTTGGTTTACACCTCTGGGAGAAAATCGGGAGGGGATGCAGCGGTGCGGACTGGCTTTACTTTCGGCAGTGGCGGGGGTGACCCCAGTAATGGGCACTGCCGCACAACTCGTGCTCTGGCGGGACGGGGGCTGGTGGAGCCACCTTCCCTCTGTTGGAGCGGGCTCTTGAGAGATGGCACTGCGTCCCCCGGGCCACCCCGACGGTGCTGGGGGGAGCCTGGGGAGAGCCTGGGTGACGAAGGGCTTGGGGCGACAACAGGCACGGACGGGCCAGGAGGCCGGAGCGCTGCAGGTCTCCTTATCAGCGCCCGAGGATCGGGGCGTCGCCGCCCCGTCGCCTTCAAATCGGGCGCAGCCGCCTCTCCCGCCCCATCCCGTCCCATCCCAGCCCGTCCTGTCCTGTCCCGTGCCGTGCCGGCAGGAGAGCAGAGCCATGCTGCACTGGGGATACGACGAGCACAACGGTAGGGAACAGCGGCCGGGGCCGAGCCGGGGCCGTCGGGGCGGGCAGCGGGGCCCGGCGGGCAGCGCTTGCCGCCGCTGGGCTCGGCAGCCCAGCGCCCTCGGGAGAGCTGGGTGAGCTGAAATGCTCTGCAGCGTGAGAGCGAGCCGATTTTTGTCTCGGCTTTCTGCAAGGCAGGCGGCTGAGAGGTGTCCATGCGTGCGGCATCGCCTGCAGAGCCGGGCCGGGCTTGGCTCCGGGTCCGGTCTGCCGCGTTCCCGCTTGGGATTTCGTTCGCTCCTTCAGCTGAACAGTTGCGTGCACAGATCGAGTACGTGGCTGACAGCTGCACTGATCGGAACTGCTGTTCCAGCGGTGCTTTTCTGATTCCAGCTCTGTTCTGCTTCTACTACACGGTGGGAAATCCTAGTTACTTGACCGGGTTATTTAAATATATAACTATGCACCTAAGAGGAGATGCTTTTGGACTTTAGTTGTTCAGTGGTTTCCTTCATCTTGGCAGTCTTTGAAGTCCCAAGATGGGCTCATCTGCAGGCTTAAATACTTGGCTCTGTTTTGCATCTTCAGTCATGCAAACGCTGTTCAAGTGTGCAGACGGTCTCACAAGTCATGCAAGTAGAAATAAAAGTGTTTTTGTAAATTGTAGGCTCAACTCTGATAAAATATGTGGAATATCTTATATTGTCTGTACACAAAGAAATGAAATGCTGAGACAGTGAAGTGAGACAGCTATATATTTGCATATACTAATGCCTATAAGAATATGCTTTGTGCATATTACTTAGACTTTGGAATACTGTTTGTGCGTAGAAAGTACTACCTCTCCTTCCTGGCCCTCTTGTTCCATCTTTTCTGGATGGATGTACTTTTCCTGAAAAACTGGGTAGTGGTGGTGGATCACAGAGATGTTGCAATGATTGGGTGTGTTATCTGCTGTTGTGCAGTCTACCCTACCCCTCCCCTGAAGACGTAAATGGGTCTTGTTTTTCAGGTTTTTTTTCTCCATATGTTTCTATGCTTTGAGCTTCACCTGCACTGTCCAGATAAGAAGTCCACTTTTCCTCCCTTATGCTGTCTCTTCTTGTTTGCTATTCTCATCTTATAGAGAGGGGAGGCGACCAGAATTTCTACTGGGGTGGCCCTGGACCATGCTTGGGGCCCTGTCTCTCCTATAAAACTCTATTTGCCTGCCTGGTAACATATTTGAGGTGGAGTTTGCCTTTCGCTCCTTTCTTGGAGCCCCAGAGCAGCTGTGGGGTGGATAGTTCCTCATCAGTCCATGCCCTTCACCACACCTTTCACAGGACATTAGAGGAGGGAGGCATGGATATCAAACACTTCAGTGCTCTTCCCTAGCATCAGTTTTATTTCTTAGCTTTTTGTCTTCTACTACATTTATTGTACTGATTTTTCTTGTTATTATTGCTTGACTGAGTAGCAAGTGAAGGAAATTTCTCTGATTCTTGAAAATTTCGTTTGCCTTCATCGCCCTGAAAATAGTTTCTCTGAAACTAAGATTACTTTTTGCAATTCAGACAGAAATAAAGCAAAATAAATTAAATGTGGTGCAGTTATATAATGTGGTTGACTGTCTGAAGAGTTGAAAAGACATCTGTGTTCACTCTGAGTTCTGCAATTGCTACTTGCAACAGTCACAACATAAATCATTATGTGCATAAAGTAAACGGGAAAATATTAAAACATACATGTCTGCATATATGGAATATCTATGTTTAAGGGCATGGGCTCATTGTTAGATAAAGAATTAAAAGATTTAGGGATTGACACTAACCGGACACCTGGTGCCCACCAAAGCCACTGTGTCACTCCTCAGCTGGACAGGGCAGAGAAAATAGACTGAAAGGCTCAGAGGTTAAGTAACTCTCCAGTTACTTTCATAAGCAAAACAGACTTGACTTGGGGGAATTAGTTTTATTTGTTGCTTATCAAATCAGAGCAAGGCAATGAGAAAATAAAACGCCTTCCCTCCAACCCTCCCTTTATCCCCGGCCCAACTTCATTCCTTCACTCCACAGGATTTCTCTATGTCCTCTCCTGCACCAGCTGTGGTCAGTTCATCACATGTCTCTGCCTCTCCCAGCTCTTCAGCAGCAGGACTACTCACACTCTGCCCCTGCTCCAGCATAGGGTCCCACCCATGGAAACAGCCTTCCATTAATTTCTCCAGTGTGAGGGCTTCCCACAGGCTGTAGTTTTTCACAAACTGCTCCAGTGTGGATTCCCCAGGGGATCCCAAGTCCTGCCAGCAAACCTGCTCCAGCGTGGGCTTCCAATGGGCTCCTGCTGGGAGCCTGTTCCAGTGTAGGCTGTCCATGAGGTCAAAACTTCCTTCAAGACACATCCACCTTCTCCAGTTGTGACCCTCCATGGGCTGCAGGTGGATCTCTGCTTCACTGTGCACCTCCATACAGGGCACAGCTGCCTCAGCCTTTTCTTCACTATGGTGCAGGGAATCTGCTCAGGCTCTGGGACCGTGTCCTCCCCTTCCTACTGGTGTCTGCAGAGCTGTTTCTCTCCCATATTCTCGCTCCTCTCTTTCAGCTGCTGTTGCACAGTAACTTTTTCCCCTTCTTAAATCTGTTACCCAGGGGTGCCAGCACTGTCCCTGGTGCACCCAGCCTTGTCCAGCAGTGGGTCCATCCTGGAGCAGCTGGCACAGGCCCTATTGGACATGGGGAAAGCTTCAGCAGCTTCTCACAGGAGCCACATCTGCAGCCTCCATGCTACCAGTGTCTTGTCACACACCCCTAATGCAGAAGTTCTCTTTACTTTGATTACTTTGGTTACTTTGATGCGCCTATTTCTGAAATAAATGAAGGCATTATTTTATTTCTGTGAAAACCTTGGCCTTTGCTTTCTTGCCACTCTTCTTACCTCACAGTTTTGATGTTGCTTATATGTAGAGGCGTAATACTGAAATCTTGAAGACTGGCTTCGGTGTGGTATCATGCATGCTTTTCACTGTTGCTCAAGGTTTCTATCAGGATAGGAATATTCTTGCCCCTTGAGTCCTTTTTTGTTTACATGTTTAGTTAAAAGGCAAATCAAAGAATGAGTAAAGTTGAAAGGGACCACAGTGGGAAAACAATTGACTTCAGTTTACTATTCATTTAATGAAATATATGGTAATTATTTACATGTATTATCTGTTACAGCAAAAATTTCTCTTGATCTAGTTACTACAGTAATGCTGAGGCATTTTATAAATAAAAGGGATATTAATTCATAGAATCATTTAGATTGCAAATGACCTCTAAGATAATTCAGTTGAGCCATAACTCCTTATACTTTTTTTTCTGAGAATAATTACGTCATTTCAATATCTGCTTTTTAAAAGGTGCTTAATTTTACCCATAATGAATTTTTAATTGCTTTTGTTTGAGCTCATCTTCCTGTAACCTAATATGCAATTGTATTACTTGCAAACCTAAGTTTATAAATTTAAACACTCTGTGATTGACTAACTGGGCAATGGATTCTCTTTAGAAATAAATGATGTGGTGGGAAAGAGGGAAGAGACAAGAATCTTGACTCCATGTTTCAGAAGGCTGACTTATGATTTTATTATATATATTATATGATATATATTAAAAGAAAATTATATATTAACACTACTAAAAGAATAGAAGAAAGAATTTCATCAGAAGGCTAGCAAGGAAAAGGGAATGGAATGATAATAAAATCTTGGGACTGCTCGCAGCCTCAACACAGGTGGCTGTCATTGGTCATCAAGTAAAAACAATTTTACATGCTGGGTAAACAACTCTCCAGATCACATTCCAAAGCAGCAAAACATGGAGAAGCTGAAGCTTCTCAGGAGAAAAGATCCTGGCAAAAGGATTTTTCATAAAATATGTCTGTGACAAAATGAGGATATGATCCTGTCAAGGCCAGACCATTCTAAAATAATGAATTCTCTATATATAATAACAAACTGAGAGAAAAAAAAAACCAAACCCAAACCCTTTTCGCCTTTACATGCTCCATTTATGCACATATAGAGGCTCACTAGAATTCAACTGTATCCTGTAGTGTGTTCACTAGGCTTGTCTCAAGTTGTCCTGTTGATGAAATTTTTAATATTTAGCTCTAGCTGGATAAAAATGCAGCACTGTGAGTGCTATAATGAGTTCTGTTTCCTGCCAAATTCCTAACTGCCTTCCTGTGAGACCTGTTTCATGAATTGGCTGTGTGCAATGCTGGTGAGTGGTACGTGCAGCGATAGTCTGACCTAAAAGTGTCAGACAATTCATTGCCTGTGGTAATGGTGTGTAAAATAAAGGCATGAAATCTTCAGAGCAGATGGTTCAGTTTTTAGTCATAAATCTCAGTCACAATAGCTTTGATTGTTAAGAGCTACTAGAAAATTGCCTCTAGCAAGAGAACATTTTCCCAACAGTAGGAGAGGATTTCATAAGTTCAAAAATTGGTATGTTAATCACTTTCATTCAGTAAAGGAAAAAATGAAAGGAGGTGAATTAATGAGTTATACTCCCTGAAAGTGCATATTTAGAAAACTGAAGTGTACATTATTTTAATGTGGAGGCATCTAATTCAGAAAAAATTTTCACCCTGGAGATCCCGCTGGCTTAAATATGATTACAGACATGTATTTGAGTATCTCTTTCAACAGTAATGGCTTTTTTTTTACAACAGTCATACACAAAGTTTGCATTGGGCTGGGGTCTGTAGAAATGAATTGAGTCACAGTTTTCCTAGAGGGACAAAAGCATGGTAATTGTACTAGATTGCTAATAGATTACATAGAAAGTAATACTTGTTGATATAACCTAGTGGTATAAAATGGGCTGAAGTTTCTTGATACCTTCCTGTATGTTTTGATAGGTCAGATGTCTGGTAGTTTGGTTACTGGTAGACAGTTAATCACCATAGCAAACCAGTATTTTGGTCATCTGAGCCAAGAACAAGTGCCAAACCAACAATAATGTCATTTTAGAACTGAATGTTGTATTACTGTTAAATAATTAGGCAGTGACAGAATCACAGCCTTGGGTCCTCTTTTTGGCAACTTTGTATTATTTCTGAATACAAGTAATCCATATTATTTAATTAAAGTAACTACAGATTTTTCTGTGACTGAGCAATAGGAGATCAAGTAGTTAAGCACATAAATATATTTTTGGCTTTTCTCAGTTAAGGATTGTTAGAATTATTAAAATTAAGTAGCAATAAACTTTTTCTAGGAGTTCCAAATCATGGTAGTGAGGTATAAATTATGGAGTAGGGCTTCTTCAAATAAAATTTTGTGTTGCATCCCTAACTACAGGGTATTAGGATCAAAACACAATTAAAATTATATTCTAAACTGTAAGTAGTTAGGATATTGAATAGCTTTGATGACCATTTGTGAACTGAGAGGAATTAAGTTTAAACAGTGTTATGTTTCAAACCAGTAGGATTTTTATCTTCTGCCTTACAATCTATTTCTTTATTGAGTTTAGTTAATGAAGTAATTTAAAAAAGTACTTTTTTTAAAATCAGGACTGAAGGCCTTTGTCTTTGTTCTGAGGTTTAAGTCTTAGGCTATTCTTTAAAAGTTTTTCCCTACTGTTTTTCAGCGCTGCTCAGAGGAGAATCATTCTCTGCCCAGGTGCTGTGCAAGCTGCAGCCCCCGGCGCTGTGGGCGCTTCCTCCTTGATTTATTGCCGGGGTGCATGGGTGCTTTTAGCACCTGTGAGTTTCGCTTCTACTGAAGTCAAGGAAAGAAAAATACCTAACAGCTTTTGATGTTAGGCTGTTAACCACTGCATTGTACGTTTTCGTCCTTTTTTGTCATCATTTTTATTTAAGTGCTAAGCCATGCAGAAAGACCCAAACCCAATTTTTGCACTGAGGTCAGTTATCTTCAGCATAGGGAGTTAGTTATGAGAATTTCCAGTGATGCAGATTATATTTGACCAGGTTCTGATGCTCATATTAAGTATTTCATATATCCAGTCTCTCAATTGATTTATTTTGCTTTTTACCCATTATAAGCCTGGGGGAAAAACAAGTTTTGTGTTCTTCTTAATACTGAAAGATCGTTTGCCCTGCAGACTTTCACCTTTCTCTTTTTCCTTTCTTCTTTCCCCTTGCTGTCCCTTCCTTTCCATCCTAAACCTTATTTTCTGTCTTTATAGAATATATTCCCCAGGCTGTTCATATTTTTCTTTACCCTCTTATCCCAATATAGTTAAACAATGGCACATATACTCTAATTGTGAATTATTGGGAACTCTCTGATGCTTAGTAGGTAACAACAGATAACTCACACATCTTATCAGTGAAGCTTTTCTTACTGTTTTAGGATGTTATTTGCTATTTTCTCATATCCATATTATTGATTTATTAACTTTTCAGGTTTGGCTGAAAAGTTGGCTTAGCCTGCTTGGAGAGAGGAAGGTTGAGATGACTGGTATTGATTAACAGTTTCTTTAGTCCTACAATTTCTACCTAAGTTGGGTCAATGGCTCTGTGTCTGGAAGATCTACTCTCATCAGCTGAAGGCAGTAGAAACACAAACCTCATGCAGGCACCACTGTCCTGAGTGTTCCTGTTATTTGATTTTGGCTGTGCTAAACTAGTGTGTGTGTGTATGTGTGCCTGTGTGCATGGACACTTCATGATTAGAGGGTGGCAGTCTCTCTTCTTTGTGACAGCTGGTGTGCACAGTTGGTGGGCTAGGAGGAGATGATCAGAGGTGCAGGAGTGTGTTTAGGTTCCAGGCACTGCCATCAGGCTTCAGGAACCACTCAGCATTTTTTGACATCTCTCCATCTCATTCAGAGTGATGGGTGCAAGATGTGTTCTCAGATCTTTTGCAGTAAATGAATAAGGCATAAAAATTTCTGCCTAGCAAAGAGGCAATCCTTGAAGACACAATGAGACATGATATTTGGCAAAAATGGCATGTCAAAAATTTACTGAGGCATAGTGCCCATTGGATACAGGATGCCTGATTTGAGTGAGCATTTGTTGTGTCTTGTGCATAGCTGAGTCTTACCTGGGAATAATTATCTACATACTGTGGCCTTGTTTAAAGGTGCATGCAAGGTACATGGAGGGGTCTGGAGAACTGCTGTTGCAATATGATGCAGCAAAAGTAGCTGAATGTTTTATCTGTGTTTTCCTGATGCATCCTTTTTGAATTTAAAAGATGCAGATGAGGACAGTTCAAGTAGAGTTTTCTTTCATAACAATGAGGTTGCTGTCAGCAATTTAGACTTCTCCTCCAATGCATTGCAGGGCCTGCCCACTGGAAGGAGGTTTTTCCTGTCGCTAATGGAGACCGTCAGTCACCCATCGACATCAAAACTGAGGAAACCAAGTATGATCCCTCCCTCCGTCCTCTAAATCCCAGTTATGATCCAGCTTCTGCTAAAATCATCCTTAACAACGGGCACTCCACCAGTGTGGAGTTTGATGACACCGTAAACAAATCAGGTTTGTTCCTTTACTCTTGCACTGTAACTTTCTCCACCAATTCCTAAATAGAATGCCTACAGCCTGGACACGTCTCACTGCTGGGTGTGAACTCCTAATAAACAGTAAGGCTTTGCTCCTCTGGATGAGAGATCCCTTTTTCCCTGCCTTTCAGCATGATGCAGAGTGGGAACATATTTGGACACAAGTTCGAGGTTGTGTTTCTCAGAAAGTGTTGGGATTCCCTACTTACAGGAATGGTTTGATCCACCCGCACCAGCTGGATAGTGCCAGCTCCCTGTTTGAACTGTGTTGTGTACAATTTTTCAAATGCTGCTCTCTCTTTCTCACTGCAGATGAATCCTTTGTGTCTCATTACAGGTTCATTCCAACCGAATCACTCAAATCTCTTATGTGAATTTAGCTGCAGGTTTGGTTATATGTTTTTCCCCTTTTTATCACCTATACTCGGCCTTCTTATGACAATAAGAGCGAATATAGAACAAGTGAAATAGATCCCAAGTAACCCCTTTTCTTCTCTGAAAAGTATTATTGCCCAAGTCTTTTCCAGGAGTATGTAGCTTCCCTTTTTGCAAACAATAATTCTTATTTAGAAGTTCTCTGATGTATTATAGTCTTTGTAATGTTACTGCCTTCATCTTTGAAACCTTCTCTTGGATTTTGGGCAAGGTAGCATGCACCTCTTCAAGCTGTAGGAGTGCAGAATCTTCAAGCAATAAAATAATTTTGTGGCTGTGTGAGGCTTAGCTGAGGATTCAAGGCCATAGTGCTTTCATAAGCATCAAAGCCAGAGAGAGACTAATTTTTTGATGACCCCTTAGTCCTGAGGACTTATTAGCTCATAGTGGCAAGAGGGAGAGACATAGGTGAAGACAGCATCATGTTTTTGTTTCCTGAACAGTCTTAGGTTTAAACTTTCTGTCAACATTGGATGTTGCCTGAAAGCCACCAGCTGACCATCAATGATCAGTCTGACCTTGTGTCAGATGCTGCGGAACTTCCCAGAATTAATCTCTGCTTCGAGCCTAGTACATGCTGGTGAACTAAAGCACATCTCTTAGAAAAATACACAATCTTGATTTCAAATTTTCCAGCGATGCTGAACCTACCACAGCCTTTGGTAAGTTGTTCTAATTGTTAATTACCCTCACAGTTTAAAAGAAAAAAAAGTTAATGAATGCGAATACACCAAGAACCTCTTCCTCTCTCTCAACTCCTTTCATGAAGTGACAGGGCCTGAGCAATGTTTCTCTAGGCTTCTCCTGGTACCAAAGCAATGGTAATGCGATCCTCCTCTCACTGCTTTCCCCAGGTCGTATCTCCATGGATGTAGTTCATATTGTGTCAAAGCACTGACAGATGTTGATCAGATAATTAACAGATGGAATATCCAGTCTCCTTCACTAGACTCCATGTCTTCTATGCATGGACCAGATTCTTCAGTCCACAAACATAAATTGAGTAATTCACTATTTCCCCTAGTATTTGTCACTGACAAACTTTATCAGTATTGTTTTTGTTTTCTTTCAGGTCATTGCTCAAAAAATACTGAATTTTCTAGGGCCCAAATTTGGCTTCTGGGGCATCTCTGTGAAGTAAGAACTCCTGCCATGTGTTGGTTTCATGAAAACAAAATCAAATTAATTGGTACTAAATACATTAGCATCTTCTAATGCATTATTAACTGACTCCCATATGAACTATTTCCTCACTTTGGTCAACATTGGAACTGGGCTTTGAAGTCTGTAACTGTTTGTGTAAGTCTGTTTATGCTGTTTGGTACCACATTAGCTCCATTCTTTGAAATTGCTCTATTGATCTTCTTCCAATATTTTTAAAAATTCAAGATACTGATATTTGTCTTAAAAACTTCTGAGTACCCTCTTCCTTAATTACAATTGAAATTAAATGGTTTTACCATCACTGTGTGATGCGGCACAAATAGATCAACAGGCCATTTTCCACAGTTTTCAGCATAAATATTTCATGCTGGTGCATTTCTACATAATAGTTTTTCCTCAGCCAATTAGAACACTGATCTTTACACTTTTCTAGGATCATTTGCGTTGAAGTTTACAGTCCTTAAAGGAAAGAATTTTAAACTGCCACTGCCCCATCTCCTCTGTTTGCTAAGTTTATAGGCTGTGTAAACGCATGTTTTTTGAGTTGAAGCTTTAAGGAAGTTAAATATTTATCCCCAGAATAAACAGTCCCAGTTCTTTTTCATTATCCAAGCTACTTGTGTTAGCAAATAGGCAACTTAAAAATTCTTCTTTCATCTTTATTTGGTTGATTTTGTTCCTAAGAAAGTGTAGGTTTTGCACTAAACCTAGAAGAGAAAAAAATTGCTATTGTCATCCCTTCTGCTCTTAATTTAAAATACATCTGGTTAAATCTCCCCTCATTTCCCCTTAAAATTTCTGTAATGAGCCAGTAAACTATTCCAGACTGAATCCCAAACACTTGGAGGACATACAGAGCTGGGCAAGTGGAGTGATTTGTTTTGCTGTGAATAAGGAGTGTCTCTGGGTGTAATTCACATTCCAGGCTCTGTGAGGAGATATTTTGATTCTAAGTCTGACAAGAAAATTGTGAGTGCTTGCAAAAGCAAAATAATGAAAAACCCACCCATATGCATGTTAGTTTGAATAGAATTAGAACAGAACAGAATAGAAATAGAAATAATAGAGTAGAGTAGAGTAGAGTAGAGTAGAGTAGAGTAGAGTAGAGTAGAAGAGAGTAGAAGAGAAGAGAATTCTTTCAATTGGAAGGGACCTTCAATGATCATGTTGTCCAACTGCCTGAACAGTTCAGGGCTAACCAAAAGTTAAAGGATGTTGTTAAGGGCATTGTCCAAATGCCTCTTAAACTCTGATATGCCTGGGGCTTTGATAGCCTTTCTAAGAAGCTTGTTCCAGTGTTTGACCATCATCATGGTAAAGAAATGCTTCCTAGCATCCAGTTTAAATCTTCCCTGGAACAGCTTTGAGCCTTACCCATGAGTCCTGTCACTGGATGCTTGAGACAAGAGACCTGCAGCTCCCTCTCTGCTTGCCCTCCACAGAAGCAAAGAGCAGTGAGGACATCCCTCAGCCTCCTTTTCTCAAAACTAGAAAAACCCAAAGTACATAGCTGCTCCTCATAGGATATGCTTTCCAGCCCTGGCTAATTGTCAGTAATATTGCAGTTGTGTAATGCACATGTAGCATTGGCTTAATTTTATTTATGTTGATATAAACTCCTTTTCCTCAGACTTCAATCTGATATTATTGGATCTAGTTGCAAATGAAGGAAGGAGCCCTGAAAATTTAAGCTCCTCCTATTTTCCACCAAATTTCAAAGATTAAAATAAATTCTGCTGACATTAATTTTTTATGATCATGCTCCTTATTCATAAAACCTATATTTTGAGCTTAATTTCTTAGTGATTCTTTTGAATATAATCAAGAGAGGAAACTCTTGAGTGTTGAAAAATAGAAGTATTTTCCCATTCTCAGAGAAATATCCAACCTTGACAATAACAGCATACCCTTTAGTGGGCCATAACGCACTAATCTGCCCATAAATGCAATTTTCATAGTCATATTCTTGACAGGTGAGGGTTTCTGTAGCACTTCCAAGAAATGGAAAGCCGTCTGAGACAACTTATGAGCAGGAGCAGAGGAGTGTCCGAAGACTGAAGTCTGGTGTGAGGTTAGAGGATACGGATAGAGACTCCATTCTCTCAGTGAAGCCTTTTCCTCTGTTTGGATTTCTAGTGCTGACTGGGGGGCCACTCAGTGGGACCTACAGGCTGCGCCAGATCCACTTCCACTGGGGGTCCAATGATGAAGCTGGCTCTGAGCACACGGTGGATGGGATGAAGTATGCGGCAGAGGTAAGGCTTTACATGGAGTCATCTGTACCTCTAAGCTTGTGACCAGTTTTCCATTACAAGAGTAATGTTGCCCTTCCTCTTCCTGCTTTTCATCTTCCCCTCATTTTATTGAAAAGTGGTCTTCCTGAAGTGTTGCTTGTTTGGTCCTTTCTCAAAGGAGAACCTCTTTGAAAGCTTTGCAGAGGATTAAAAAAGGAGTACAGAAGACAAGAGCTCGATAAGAGCGAGACTTAATGTTCAAGAGTTATTTTAAACTTTGTCTTTCATTGTTTCCTCCTTGGAGAATATTTTCAAAGTCATCTTCAATGACAAACCACAGAGTTATTGGATTTGGGGCCTATGTATTGTAAAGTTTATGCAAGACATAGGAGTGTTGCATTTTGTCTTAGCAATGTGGTGGTTATGACTTTGAGAACCATGGTTTAATATCTGTGGGATGCCTGCTGTCTGTGGGGATTGTGCTTCAGTGGAGGTGGTGCCAAAGGGAGAAGTGCACCATCTGCTCTGGCATAGAGCATTCACTTCTGCTCTGTCTCCTTTGTATATGAGTAATCTGCAGGAGGAAGTTCTCAGTATGACATTCCTCTTTGCAAATGGAAGTACCATGGAATATTTTCAGGAGACTGAGATCTTTAAAAACATGTGATTCAGACAGTGTCAGAGTTTTCTGGGGTTAAAAAGTAAAAAGTATAAAAATAAATGGCCAAATAAAAGGCATAATACTACAGAAGAAATAAATGTAATGTATGCACTGTGGTGTGATCAGATTTTTCGGGAAATGCTATAAGAGATACTGGTCAGGAAAAAAAATCAATTTTCTAAAACTAATGGGGAAAAGTGACATTTGCAGTGTTTAAAGGCTTATGTTTTCCACAGGAACCAGGTGAGATGGAATATAAAGAATTAATAGAGGTGCTTTAAAACCATTAAGTACCAAACCCAAATTTCTAGCTGAGAAAATACATGTTTCCCATCTAAGAAACCAAATGGAAGGAGAAAATATCTCTGAATTTCTAGCCAGTCTAAAGGCCTTTCTGTTACCTGTTGGTTGGGTAACCCTCCACAAGAAGCTCTCTAGATGTCACTTTGGCTTTGGGATAAGAAACTCAGAATTAAAACCAAGGCTTCTGAATATTGTTCACACAAAAGAAAATACCTGAGAAGGAGACATGAAGATGTTTTCAGTGCTCACCTTTGTAAGGAAGATGTGCAAGGTTTGAAGAAAAAGCATCGACTGAATTGAAGAAAGAATTCATGTACAGGTAAAGACGACTGCAAGGTTTGCCCCTTAAGCCCTCCAGGAAGCAGAAGAGACCCATGGCTCCATTCTCTGTGACAACATACGGGCTGATCAAGGTCTCTTCACAAGCTGCGGTGACACCACGGTGGTAAGACAGGATACATTCCTTAGAGAAGTCACAAGCCATTGAGAACGGGTCTGTACCCAGAAGTGTTTCACACTCTGTTTAGGGGCTCTGGTTTTTGGTGGGTTACCTTCTGGGTTTTTTTTTGGCAAAGCTATGAGGGAGTGGGCTTTTAGTAGCTGTGGGAATTTTCCTTTTTGCTCTTTGTTGGGTTGTTTTTGATGGTGTTTTTTTTTTTTTTTTTTCCAAATCCACAATAAAGGTAATTTCTGACTGAGAGTATCTGTTTCCTTTTTGTGTATGAAAAAATGTAATTGCTTAAAGGTTGTTCAACATAGGTTCTGTGAATTTATAATAGGGAGCAGTGCAGACACTGAACTCCAGGATATTAATGCACTTGAGAAAGGTTTAGTGGACTGTGTTCTCCTCCTGGCTTAGTGTATAATATTTGTAGCAACTTTCCTTCAAGGATTTCTAAAGCTGTGAGACAGCATGGGTGTCATCATAGCTGTACATGTATTATTATTGATGACAGTGGGATTCCTTATTTGCTGCAAGTAATGTTTCAGCACTTTAAAGCCCAAATGCTTAAAATATTGATGTCAAGTAAGACCAAGTAAGAGTTCCATTTTATAGATATGGAAAATTAAAACTTATAGAAGTTAAGCAAGGATTGATATTTAGAATAAAAATCTTCATACTTCTAGGTCCGTATTTCAGCCATGCAGCCATGTTGCTTCATGTGGAAATCTTTTAAAGCAGATTTCAGTTTTCCTAAATTGTTCTTACTTTACTTGTCCTGTACATGCTGTATTCCAAAAGGAAGTCCTTTTTTTCATGGGTTTGTCCCAGTTTAAGTCATTCAATGAGATGCTTTTCCTCATTCTTGAAGTTCAAAATCTGAAAAGATGGTCACCAATTTTAGAAAAGCCAATCTCATGCCATGCTTCTGAGCATCTTTAACTAAAAATTATGTGTAATAAGATTTACTAATCCATTGAGGATTCGTGAAAGTAATTAATGTTTGTGAAATAGTCAGACCTAAGTGCTGTGTGAGTGTGCTCTCTCCAGTTTGGCAGCCAGACCATTGCTGAAGGCTGGAACAACCTGGAACTTCTTGGGAACCAGGAGCTCCCGTAATGAAGAGTGGTCAGGAATTAGGAAACCTAATTTTTAAACCTAAGTAGCATGGAAATAGACATCACAAGCTTTTCCTCTTCCCTCCTGGCTGGGTGGTGTTTAAGCTTCTTAGGCAAATATTATGGGACACTTCCAGAATAATGCATGTTGGAAATGCAAATGCTCAAACCTGAGATAATCAAGCTGCTTGTAAGGGCATCACTACTAGTAGTCATAGAAAATAACATCTGAAAAGTGTCAAAAATGAAATGCTGATGTTCCCTTAAGCTAAACAAGGGAAAAGGGGTCAGTGCAAGTTTTATGTGTATTTGCCTATTTTCTAGCTATTTATGTGGATGATTAATGCTGCTGAAAGCTTGATTAAAGAAAAAGAGTGAAATAATAATGACATCCTCATGAATTCCAATCACTTTTTAAAATCAGCTGTACTAAAAATAGATTTTAAACTTCCAGTTATATAATCATTGGCGCTTTTTTTTTGTCTTAACTTCTCAGTTCAAACTCTGGGGACCCAACAGCAATTTGACAGGCACTGTGGTATGCCGATTGCTACTAAATTTTTAATAATCTTAGCCACTGGAAATGCTTTTGCCATTTGTGTGAACTACATATTTACTGATTTCATGAATTATCTGCATTTAAAACACTGAATGATTCTGCATACAAAAGAGTGAAATAGAGTGTCAAACCCAGTAAAGTTGTAATATTTATTTGCCACTACTTGAGTTCAGTGAGCGTTGATGCTGTCTGTGTCTTTTGCTTTCCAGCTTCATGTGGTCCATTGGAATGCAGAGAAGTATTCCAGTTTTGTTGAAGCAGCTTGTCAGTCAGATGGACTAGCAGTTATGGCTGTATTTCTGAAGGTAAGAAGAGAATGCTTCAGCCCTCATAATAAATCTGCATTATAAGCCCAAAGAGATAACAGTGATGGTTTGTGTAAGCATCACTAAAGAGAAACTTGTTTTATATTTATTTCCTTCGTAGTGTTTACCTGCCAATATAGAAAGCTGTACTTCCTTTAAGAATAAAAATATCAGCTTAATAGATTTTTCAAGACAGTCAAACTCTTCAGTGTGCCTAGTGTGCAAGCCCAAACAATATTAGATGTGGAACTTAATTCAGCTGCCCCCATTTGGATCCCAGTAACTTGTTCTTGACTAACATGTTCATTTAGGGGGACAGCTTGATTTAAATGGTTTTTTAATGTTTCTGAGCTGATAATTTCTTCTAGAAAATAATAATTAAATAATGCAGAGCCAGAAACTGGAGAATTTCCTAATAATTATTTTATACCTTTTTTGCCTTCTCTCCCTGTTCTAAGATTAGATTTGTGCAACAGCTTCACTGAATTCTGTATGAAGAAGCAGATGGGGAATTCTCACAATCTATGGCAAAGGACAGGGCTTTGGTAAATTCTGTGGTTTCTGGTGGCTGACACAGCTTCCTGAGAACAGCTAGTACTGGTGCTGGCACAGTCAGAGAGCCATTCCGTGCCACAGTTGCAAAGAACTGCTTCAGCAGTTCAGTAATTCCGTCTTTCCAGTTTGCTTTACAATCACTCAAAGGAAGTGTCACTGGATTTCTTAGCACACAAATTCAGTTTGGAATGTTCTCACGTAAGAACATTGGTTTCAATGTTAAAAGCAGTTTAAATTTCTGATGTCAGTCTGTAACTTCTAATGTCCCACATATTAAAACATGAAAGATAAATAATTTCTTTACCCCTGTAGAGAAAAGTTTGTAATTCTTTTGTGGCTGAAGTAATTACTATGAGTAGCCAGAATACTATTAGCAAGGGAGTGAATCTTCTTTATGACCAGTATTATTTCTAAGGACCAGCTAGTCACGGGCTTGTACAGAAGATGCATCAGATCTTTCAGTCACTCCAGTTATATAAAGCAGTTTCATTATGCATTTGCTTTTTTATTAATTTTTATTGCTTTTCTCTGGAGCTCCAGTGTTTCTTTTTTCTTTGGTGTTAATAGATTGGTGAATGCAACCCTCAGCTGAACAAGATTACTGACCGCTTGGACACCATCAGAATCAAGGTGAGCAAGTGCTTCTAAAAGAATACTAGCTAATATTGGTAGTTGCTTTTGTTGGTCAGGTTTTTTATTTTTTGAAACCTGGCTGCTACTCCCTGTACCTTCATGTTTCCTTATCCCCAGCGATTGATACCTGATTTGAGTCAGTTTATGTGCATTCTGTTTAAGTTGAAACTAAGTAGACAAAACATAGTTTTTACACAGCAAAAGATCAGAGGAAACAGCTAATTCCTCACAGAACCCAGTCTCTGATATATCTGTTGCTGTGAAGATAGTAACAGGGGAAAAACATACTTTATGGAAAGCTATAAAAAAGATGAGGAAAATACTTCCTTCCTTGTTTTGCTGAGGTACAGGGTGAGAAATAACCTATTGCTTGTGCAAAAGAAATTAGCCAGACTCCCAACATGATGTTCAGACAGACATCTGTGGTCTGGTGTCCAGTACAGGGGGAAACAGAAGTAATTCCTTGGAGGAGTGAGGAGGGAAGCAAGTGGCAGTAACCTGTGGGGTTACTCTGCCAGCCCCACAGAGACCATGTTGACAGTCTAACATCTTTTGTCTTTTCCCCACCACTTCCATCTCATGGTCATCTGTAACTTAGGGGAGCCTGTTCTAACATGACACCTCTCATGGTGTCCTGCTGGCATCAAGGAAAGTCACAGCAAAGCTGTCTCTGAGGTAAGACCTCATCAGAAGGGCGGTGATGAGGACCTCCTGTCATCAGCCAAGATGCTGCCAGCCCACCTGATAGTGGAACAAGCTCTATCTCCTTTGGCATTATTTACCTTGGCCTCTTGCTTTTAAATAATATTGCCCTGGTATTTTTTTTTTATTTCTTTCCAGGGAAAAAAAGCACTATTCACAAACTTTGATCCCAGCTGTCTGCTTCCCAAGTCCCTGGACTACTGGACTTACTTTGGCTCTCTCACTGTTCCACCTCTTCTTGAGAGTGTCATCTGGATTGTTCTGAGAGAGCCCATAAGTGTTTGTTCTGAACAGGTATCTTTGGATTTTTCACTGCTATAGGAGTGTTGCTTTTGTAAGAATGGAAATTGTAAATGCCACCCAATATTATGGGTGGCACTGCAGATGTTACAAGGTTTTCAAAAGTCAAAGTTTGTCTATCAAATTTTTTCTGACTAGTTGCCTTTCTTGCTGTAACAGCTATTATTATTAATTTTTAAAAACAATCTGCATACACTAACAATTAAGAAACAAAAATAATCCATATGGAACGTAAAAAAAGAGTTCAGATGATGCTTAGAAATTCTGGAATTCCAGTTGATTTAATTATTTTTATATCCAGCTCAAACCTCATCTTTGGCATTTTTATCTGGCAGACAAGTAGTAAATGTCTTCTTCCATTCTAAATACATAAAACTTGATGAATTTATGTAGAGGGAATACTGTTGTGATAAGTTGGGGTTTTAGGAAAGCTGTGATTCCACAAAAAAGGGTCTATTTGCAATTCTTGTAGAAGCTTCATGCTGTATCTTAACTTGGCAACAGTGACACCAAGCGGGCTGATCCTCTTAGGTGTAAAGTATTTCTGAGTAGAGAACACATAGCAGAAATGGTGACTTCAGTCTTTGCTATAAGTGTTAAGACAGTTCCCTGAATGGGTTGCTGGTTGAGAAACCTCAAATTTCTGTTTACAACTGATTGGAAGTAATTTATTTGCTCAATGTGTGTATTTTTCTCACCTATATCTCTTCCTTACTCCCCTCATTCTGGTTTTGTAAGGCTTTGCAACTGTTTGGATCTAGGATTGGAAACTTGTGTTAAGGTATCAACTTTCCAAAGATAAGCCATTTCTCAGGTTAAAAGCTTCCTATTTGGGCAAATCTGTAATAAATACATTCTAAAATGTGAAATGCTGCATACAAACAGCTATGTAACAGGCTCAGGAACATGGTGTGGGAAAGTGTCCAGTATAGTGATCCTTTATTAGTAATTTTTCATAAACTTTAGCTATATCTTACGTATTGAAGTAGAAATTGCTATATTCTTGTCAATATAAACATGCATGCAGCTAAAGTGTTTCCACTAATGTCCACCACTGTGATTGTTCAGTCAGCACCTGACGGATATTGTTCTGCCATTTAATTTTATTCCTCAAGTTTGGATTTCTTTAGGGCTTTAGAGTTTCCTACAGACTTTTTGTTGCACTTTTCAGATTGAAAGAAATTTAAAATAGCTTTTAAGCTATTTAAAAACTTACAGGACCCTGAATACAAACGTTAGCTTCAGAATGGGGTGAAGCCAGGTAGAATTGATATTTTTTGGTCTTAATGTCATTATGATGCAATGTGCCATTATGACTAAATGCTGTATTATAATGGAATGGTTTTGGTGCTGTCCTACCATTGGTAACCTAGGAGGGAAGTCAAGTGATATATAGAAATAGTAACTATTGTAAAGATTAGGAATTAAACAAAATTCTATACTTAGGTCAGAAATCATCCTCAGATTTTCCAAGGTTTAGACATGGAGCTCTGATGGGGTTTCTGCTGAGTTCAGCATATGCTGAGTTATGAGTAAGTGCTTGTCTTGGAAGTTATGAATAAGTTCTTCACAAGGAAAGAATTTAGAGTCTCTTTTGGTTTGAGTAAGTGCTAGTGGCAGAAGCTTTCTGTAGCACCACACCTGCAATTCCAGGTTAATTGTGAATATCCTCTTTGAAGAAGGAAACATACACAGAATGTTTGTATGATAAAGAAACATAATCTTATCTTTTGGCAAAAAATATTTCAGAATCTCCAAACTATGAAATCCAGCTAAAAAGGTATAAACACCCCCTGGTTTAGATCAGGTTGTGGAAGACAAAGTGTGAATAAAGGAAACAAGTAATCCTTATGCACGGTTTCATGTATTTTGGGATATTTTCTCAGTAGTAATCCCCCTTTTCATTTACAAGGATAGAAATGGTGAAATTGCCATTTCCCCATGACTTAATAAAATACAGTTCTGTTCTTTCAGGTGGAAAAAAGTTACAAGTGTCTTTATTATTTACATGCTTTTTCATGAGTATTTGCATGAGGGTTTTCGGCTGAACCTGATGTGTCTTTTGGTTACAGCTGGCCAAATTCCGCAGCCTCCTGAGCACTGCTGAGGATGAGGTCGCCTGCTGCTTGCTGAGAAACTTCCGGCCTCCCCAGCCCCTGAGGGGACGAGAAGTCAGAAGGAATTGAAGGAGTAAATCCAGAGTAGGCTCCCTCTGAAACCAAAGACCAAATTCATTTTAATAGTTAATATACTTTGTGATGTTTAATTTCTTTTTGTGAGTTGTTTTTAACCAATAGGTGTTGTTTTATCAGTGGTTTCCATGCAGTCATTTCTCACACATGTATGTCTGGAATTGTCACAGGTTCATTGATGTTAGCAGGTCTGACTGGGTTTGAGTGCATTGTCTTGGAAGTACTGAGCCATCAGCATTGCATACACAGAGGTCACTGCTAAAAAATGGTGAAGGAGTTGCCCAAATTTTGCCACCAAATTACTGAACAGGATCCTTAGTATTATTGACAATTTGGGATGTTCTGGGATTATTCCTCTGGTCGCTAACATAACATTTAACTTCTTTATAAACCTCACATTGCAGTTCTCAAGGAAAAAAGTTTCAAGGATGATGTAATTTCATTGCTGACTTCTGCAATACCATATTTACGTTCCTACAAAAAGTAGTAATGACTAGCAGCATTTAAGACAGATATTTATATGATCCTGTTATTCTGGCTGCTTCATAGCAGTAATCATGTACTGATTGATAGTTTTTTAAAAAGCAAATAGTAAAGATTTTGTATATTGCAAGATTATGTCAGGTGGATTAGTTATTCCTGAATTTCACAATGTCACAAGATGAAATTGTCCTGAAACCTGAAAACTGCAAGGTGGAAGGGCACAGAGGGAGCTGTTTGTGCCTAAATCCAGTTTGTTGCACTTGGTGAAACATAAGGGATTATTACACTATATCCATGTAGTATCACACTTTTGCCCCTTAAAATCAAGAGGCAGGGGTAGCTATTGTTGCAGACCATTGCACGCTGCAGTGTGAACCACATGCTGCTTACCTCTCCTCTCACTGTGCAGCACAGTACTGCCAGGTATAGAATGTGTCAAGGTGCTGGCTGATGTTCTGCTGTCATAGGTGAACTTCAGTGGTTGCACTTACATTCCAAGACCAAAGAGAATAGTCAGAGACAGCCAAAGAAATGGGAATCAAGTCAACATCTAATAAAAAGCTCAGCCCTCAGTAGCTATATGTTGAAACTTCTGTCTCTATAAGTTGACTTGAGCCAGTGTTTCTCTCAGGAGCCTTTTTTATCTGAATATAATTGGGGTTTTTACACCAAATATTTTTATTAATGAACATGCCATAGGATGTAGCTTAGGATAGAATTAGATTTACTCTCAAACTGTGAGAACTGTATAGTGAAATCCAGTGAGTGATACCTGAAAGAGACAGCTAGAGGTTTTACTGGCAGCAACTTACACCAATCTCTGTAATACTTCTGACAAATTCATCTTCCATAACTGCTCTCCTTTAATTTTTAAATAGGTTTTATATGCTCTGCCTTTTACCTCAGTGGGTCATTTGATCTTAGATGAACAAACATGAGGGAAATCACAATTGGGATTGACTTTATATGCTGTTTTAGAACAATAAATTTGATATAGACATATAGGTATTTTATCTTAGTTGAAGATACGTGGAATTCTTTGTTTTCTCCTCCCCAGAATATAGCTATTATATTCTGCAAGGCCTCCCAATGCCTTTTGAATATTTTCTGAAGAAAAGAACACAAACAGACCATTGAAGAAAAAAAAAGGCATTTAGCAGCACTAAAAAGAAAAGTGAGAGTGTATGTTTTCACTCCCTTTTTTAGACTTAAGATTGGATCTCATATGTTTCCCTGTTATGTGAGTAGCTACAGAATGTGGAAAAAATGTTTACAAATTGCAGGAAGGATACAAAGGATTTGTTGGTCTCAGAAGAGAAAGGAATAAGACTACTTCTTCCTATTGTAAACAGAAGTTTTACATATTTCTTACATATTGTAAACAGTGGAGTTGATTAATTCTTTTATATTTATAAGGGTTTTATCAAAATAAAATATGGATTTTATGAATGTGTCTTGTATTTTCTATTGAAGAACCTAAAGTTTTACAGAGAAGTCTATACTTTTATAATTAACAGCTGCAGCTTTAGGTTTGGAAAAAATTGTCACCCATCATTTGAAGTCTGTCTTTGGGTAGTGTAGTATTAGGTATGTCTTTTTGTTCCAAATAAAATATTTTTGGTAGTGGTAAGACATGTAATCCATTCTTCAAGTTTCTGATAGTGCATTTTTGAACTATTGATGATTTTTATAGTTATGCTAATAAGTCTTAGAGGAAGTCATCGTTCAAGTAATTCCCCTTTTGTGGAGATGCCATGTTCATGTTAGATTGGCCTAGCTGAAAGTTAGTGGTGACATCTGAAAAAGAGTAGAAATGCTCAGTTACCTGAAATCCTTTGGGAACTGCTTCTCAGGTTACCTGAAATCCTTTGGGAACAGCTTCTCAGGTTATCCATCCCCTACAACTGTAAAGTGAGATTTGGACACAGTCTCAGCTCTGAGCCCTTGGTTGCACCTCAGTCACTAATTTCCTGTGTGCCCAAGCTACAACGAACCTCAAGCAGACTACTCAGTGTGCTCCCAGAGAATCTTATCTCAAGTATGAGCTCCACATTGTCCTCTACAGCAACAGAGGCTGAAATATGTCATCACCCCCAAAACCCCTGCAGCCACATGTCCCTTTGATCAACTCTTAACTCTCTGACACACTTGGAGCCTTTATATTAAGAAGAACGAAATGCTCAGTGACCAAAAAAAACATAGAGTGTATTTGCTGGAAATAGTAGCTGTCAAGAATTGTGGACTGCTGGAAGGTTGATCACCCATAAACTTATTCTCAGAATTAAATAAGCCACAGCAGAGCCCTGGGGTCAGCTCTGCTGGTTTTGGCACAGGAGGGAAGCAGTCTGCTCTGCTATGCTAATAGCATTTGCCATCATTCTCATTATGTTATTAATGTTGGCCATGTTTAACATCAGCTGTGAATTTTCTTTATGTCAAAAAAAACCTGAGAAGCAGCGCTTTTCCCTTCTGGAGTACAGTGGGCTGAAGATACACCAGACATCTGTTTGATGCCATACACCCATTTGCTATATACCTATGTTTTCTCTGCTGGTTTAGAGATTTGTCTCTCAGTTGGTTCCAGACATGAAATGTGACCTAAAGGAATTCTAAGAATGAATTTGATGAAAAAAAAACCCCAAGTCATCAAATAATAAATATCACAGAAAAGAAAAAAGTGGAATATGGCATATGAATAAAATAACATCAATGAAATAGATATGTTATACAGTTTCTATAAACTTAATGGAAAGGAAATTCTGGATTTAGATTCTTGTAGCTTTAAATAGGCAAGGGACAGATTATGAGATAAATCTTCAGATGTTAAAAGCTGCAAATAATTGAAAAACTTGGAGCACCTTCAGGTTGTAAGCTCAGTATGAAAGTATGAATACCAGAGGAATCTTGCTCAAGAATTGTAGCTTCTTTCTTTTACTGTCTAATAATTAGTCTAAAAAAACCATGGTGACAATTTCCCTTATCATTCTGTGACTAAGTGGACTGCAACTAGCTTCTGACCTAGCTGTTACCTGTTACATTTTTTTGTTCTCCCACCCAGTCTGATCTTGCTTTCTAGCTATAGATGCACAATACAGAGATTTGGTCTGTGATTTAATCTCTTAGATGCTGTTATTTCTGTGTATCTTATTTGTGAAGTAGCTGACTCAGTGACAGGGGACCTTCTCTGTGTGTCTGCTGTTTTTGTGAGACAGGAGATAATACTGAAATGCTGAAACAAAAATGTTTCTAAATTCATGGGATTTTTCCCTGTTTCTATCAACCTCTCCATCATTTATGCCAAGCACAAGTTTTTACTGTGGTGAAACATTTGCATGTGTGATCTGTGTCTCTTCTCCTGTGCAGCAGAATTTGAGGAGAGGGAATGTCTCTGACAGGAGACTACTGGATTGTGATGTGAAAACAAAGATCCTTGGCCTCTGATTAACAGAGATGATATTTCACTGTTGATTTCTGTGTCGGGTTCTATTTTATCAAATTTCACCCACATACTTGGGTAGATACATTTTAATAATTTGTATATTATAATTTAATAATTTACTAATGACAGTTTCATTCATCAGATGAAAATCATATAGGTTGCATGCAACAGGTAGAAAAAAATATATGTTTTGTGAATATCTGATTATTTTTCTTTCTCTGGTTTGTAAATATTTTGAATGAACTATCACCTGTTTAAATGTCAACACTGCTTCCATTCTTTTCCTTTCTACAGTTATATGTACAACAGACAAAGATGTGGCCTCAATGTTTCTTCTTTTTTAGCAGCACTCTGGTGATTTTGAGGAAAAAAGTTAACCCAGTCATTCTTGGTGTTTTTCTGAGAATTTTTTCTTGATTTATGTTTTCCCTTTGGCCTGTTGAAGCTTCAACTTTTTTGATGGTTTATGTTTTCATTAATAAACTGGCAAATGGTGCTGATGATATAAAATCTTCCCCTGACAGAAATAAATGAATGATTGTTTGAGAACAGGGATATTGTGTTAGAGAAAATGATAACAGACTAAGCTGTAGTAAGTAATCTAAAATTCTGAACTGACTGGGAAAAACTGAGTGGTGAGATTTGGAGAAGATAAAGAAAAATGCTAAAGATAAAAGAGGTACTCTAAAAGCCTTCTAATAGGAAAAGAGGCCCTTTGCACATGGCTTTTGCCAATAGATGTCACTGTGAGTAAGGCAATGGTCACCTGCCCACTGACACACATTCTGAATGAGACCCATGCTGTCCTGAAGGCTCAGCCTGTGAAAGAAGAGTATGCAATATAACTCATGTATTAAGGATGTGCTGTTGATAGTGATTTACTTCCTTTCTTAAAAGTGAAACAAGATTGTGAAAAAAAAAAAATTGTATAACAAACGATACTCAGATTAAAAAAACCCAAACATAATTAGGTGAACCTATGCATTTAAATGCTCCCCTGTTTCCCATAAGCAATTGCTGTTACATAGTTTCACACATGCCTAAAGCCACGTGCCAGAAATTTCCCCAAGAATTAAAATAAAAAAAGAAATCAGTCATTTGTGTGCAGAGAGCCTGGATGGTGCACAGCCACATCAGCAACACCAAGCAGGCTCTGTAGGTCTGGCACATTCTGGCTTAGCTGGACATCCCTGAGCCCATGGAAAGCCATTGGGCAAATCATGGGCAGCAGGGCAGACTATGCCAGTGCCTTAAATTCTGGCTGCAAGCTCTGGGCAAGGACAAATTCATACATACAGTAAATACAGCTGAACATAGGTAATCATCATTAACCAGTTGTGGTGTTTTTTTAAAAAGGTTCAGTGAAGATTCATTTGGAAAATCTGATCAGTTATTTAAACCAGATTCTGCTTCAGTTTTCTGAGTCAGATGAATGGTGGTGCTCATTTCAGCTATGGCACCATTGTTACTTCACTCTCTGCGTGAGGTTCCAGAAAGGGCTTCTCTACCTGTCTCTCTCAGTTATGAGATATTTAAATACCACTTTAAGGACTCTAGGCACTCTCCTTGGTTCACACAAGCACACTGTAAATGTGAATGTAAATGTGTGTTAAAAGAGCTTTTTGGTATTTCAAAAGTCACATCAGTCAGGTGAAGTCCCTGGTGTCTGGAAAAAAGGAAAGATTGCACCCATTTTTTAAAAGGGTAGAAAGGAGCACCCCAGGAACTACTGACCTGTCAGCCTCACCTTTGTTCTAGGAAGATCATGGAAGAAATCCTCTGAGGCACAGGGAGGACAGGGAGGCAATTTGAGATGCCCAGCATGGCTTCACCAAGGGCAAATCCTGCCTCACTAAGTAGTGTTCTTCTAGGTTGAGGTGACTACATCAGTGAACTAGGGAGGAGCCATGGATGTCGTCTGTCTGGACTTCTGTAGTACCTTTGACACAGTCCCACACAACACCTTCCACTCTAAATTGGAGAGGGATTGATGGGATGGGTGGACTGTTCAGTGGATGAAAAATAGCTCACATATCATGCAGAGGGTATTGGTCAATGGCTGAATGTCCTGATGGACATCGGTGACAAGTGGTGTCCCTGGGTACTAAACAGTACTGGGACCAGTACTGTTTAGTAATGACTCCAGCAATGACACAGTGACATCAAGTGCACCCTCGGTAAGTTTGTGAATGACACCAAGCTGAGTGGTGCTGTTGACACAGCTGTAGGATGGGATGCCACGCAGAGGGACCTGAAGAAGCTGAAGAAGTGGGCCCATAGGAATCTCACAAGGCTCAGTAAGATCAAGTGCAAGGTGCTGCACCTGTGTCAGGGCAGGTTGATACCTTTAGTATCAACACAGGCTGGGGATGGGCACATCAAGAGCGGCTTGGCCGAGAATGATTTAGGGGTCCTGATGGATGAGAGGCTGGATGTGAGCTGGCAATGTGAACCCACAGCCCAGAAAGCCAAATGTGTCCTTGGCTGCATCTCTTTGTTTAATTTATTTGCATATCTGTCATTTATACTGCTCTGGATTTCCTCCTCTGTGTCAGCATACAGAGGGTATACACAGCCTACATGGCCCCTCCTCTGGGTTATGGCAATCAGGATGTAATCCAGCAATCTGCCCCTGCAGTGCACCCATGGCCAAGTGGGAACACCCAGGATATCAGAGCTGAACAGCACTTGGGTAAACATGCTGCTTAGGAGGGATATTGCATAAATAATACAGAAGTCTCATGATTGTGCACTAGCTTTCCCTAGTGACTGGTGCATTGCATCCCAGCACTGTTCAGAGGTGCCTGTAGAGGCATTCCCACTAAGTTCCTGCTGAACTGGGTTGAGATTTAAAAAAAAACCAAAACAACTCAACTAAGGTCTCTTGCATCTTGCATCCAGTATTTCATGCAGGAGGAAAACATGACTGACTGAACAGCTTATTATTGTAATAGAGAAAGCTCCATTTAGTTTTTTGGAAGAAAGTATATTCCGGAAGAGTGTATATTCCAGTT